ACTTATTCTGAGTTATATGTACTTTCTAAGATTATCTAGACACCACTGACAAACGGTGAAGGAAAACATCGTGAAGAAACCTGGACTTATAATTTTTAATTATAAGTTTGTAATCGCCAACCCGCATAGAGCAAGCGTGGTGATTAATGCTCAAACCTTCTCCGTGTGAGAAGAGGCTTTCTGCTCGGCAGTGGGCATTTAGACGCTGTTGATGATGACATCTCAATTCTATACACTAGTCAAAGTTCCACGAGGACAAAGTTGCGAAGAAAAAGAACTCCAAAGGCTAACAAAAGTGTTCACAAATATTTTATAATTTTAAGGAGTGGAGTTAGTTTTGACAATTTACGGGAAATATTTTTCACATATTGTCATTAAACCCGAAAATTATTTGATGATAGTATCGGCACACCTGAATAAAGTATGTAGGTTCGAATATTTAATGGTTTCAATGTCGGATGATCATGCTAAACCTTAATAGGTCTCAATGTTCTGATCGTTGTAATATTACTTCCAATTGGACAGAGGATCGCTATACTGCAGGTAGTGATGTATCATCACCTTTCATTTCAGTTCCAGTAGCTACACACACCGTATCAAGCACTGCTGCCACGACAGTCCCGATGCCCACCATATCAAATACTGCTACCACTATTGTTCCGCCGGCCACCGAATCAAGCACTGCTGATACGCCCACCATATCAAATACTGCTACCACTATTGTTCCGCCGGCCACCGAATCAAGCACTGCTGATACGCCCACCATATCAAATACTGCTACCACTATTGTTCCGCCGGCCACCGAATCAAGCACTGCTGATACGCCCACCATATCAAATACTGCTACCACTATTGTTCCGCCGGCCACCGAATCAAGCACTGCTGATACGCCCACCATATCAAATACTGCTACCACTATTGTTCCGCCGGCCACCGAATCAAGCACTGCTGATACGCCCACCATATCAAATACTGCTACCACTATTGTTCCGCCGGCCACCGAATCAAGCACTGCTGATACGCCCACCATATCAAATACTGCTACCACTATTGTTCCGCCGGCCACCGAATCAAGCACTGCTGATACGCCTACCATTACCACGTCCACAAACTCTGCTAGAGGAAATAATAATGAACAAGAATACAATATTGGCAACGGAGGAACTGCCTACGGAGATGGTAATGCTGGAGATGGTGGCAGCTTCGGAGAGATTAATCTTTGAGGTACGAAATAAACGGTACAAAAAAGTCGACAAAAGAAGCGTAATAACGAGTACCATTGAATACATTATGACTAGTAAACTTCTGTTCCTTGTATTATGTTGGTTGACATCGGTCAGTAGATAAATGCCAATATTTAACCACCCTTTTTAGATTTTCAATGGTTTTCAGGACAGGTGGCACAGAGTGATGATGTTCAGTATGATTTTACAGGATCATTAAAACAAATATTATAGCCAAATGTAAGAGTTAAGCTATCCCTTGGAACTTATAGGGGGTAAACGCCATATTAGCGAAAATTACTTTATTATCTTCTTTTGAGTTTTTGGTATAGTAACAGCAGTCACTGAATCTGCAGTGATTGTCCGGGCCGTAACCAACCAGTACTTCTTAATTAATTTATTTAAAACACAATTATTATTTTAGACTGCATAAGGGCTCGTAAAAAAACTGTAATACGAATTCGCAACGCAAAAAATTACGATGCGTATTGCTGCGATGCGATTTCATGCGACAAGGCGTCTCTCAGAGTGACTATTCCTTCGACAACCGTTAACCGTACTAAACGTCCGAGCGTACGGCTCGTCGCGTTCCGCGCGTGCCTCAAAGAGCCATCAGACCACCACAGATGGGGCCCAATAGGGCCGATGCCGATTCGGAGTCGCGGAGAACCTAACGGGTAACCGGGGCTCCGGCTCGACGTGCCGGAGAAGGAACGGGGTGGTTTTTAGTCAGTAAGAGTCTGACACACTCCCTCCCGCCTCACCCGGGTGGGAGTAGTCATTCGATGATTTTCCCCCCTTAAAAAAAAGAAAAAAACCGTACTTAACGTTTTTTATATTGAAATCTAGGTCGTGATGCGTATCTAGAGGAAGCTCGAACATTTTAGCGATGCGACGTGGAAACGCAGTTCTGTGTACGAGCCCTTAAAATAGACTTTTAGTTGACGTAAGGTTTCTATCTGTAAACTGTAAATTTGTCTTTTGGTTTTGGGTCTCCTGTAGAGTTGAGTTTTGGCGAAGACGTCACAATCATTGTCTCATTTTATTAAAATGTTGCCCCACGCTATAATTTTTTCCCCTGCTGATCATGATGCATAACTACGGGTAGTTGCAATATTTTAACTAAGGTCTACAATCATGAACAAGAAATAGATAACAGCATTAATAGAAACTGTTTTTGGTGTCAAGTTCTCAAGTGTGTCTTTTCAATTAAATCAATGAAATTCTTCACTTATTCATTTTGTGTTTTATTTACCTGTTTGAATCATACGGTTGGCTTACTCCCTATTACGTGGACACATACATTTTTTTATACCATAAGCCTGTAAACGATTAGACGGATCGGATGGTAAGCAATCGGTGCCGTCCATAGACACCCGAAACACCAAGGCGGTACAAGTGCGTTACCGGCCTTTTGGCAATTGGGAATTTGAGGATTATGGAGGATTCGGAAGACTAGGGAGGGTAATTGGGGTAAATAAAAATAGTAGATAATGCATTGAATATCTATGGACCTCTGCCTTAATTTTGAAGGAATAAAAATCGCAATGTTATATTTGAACTAGCTATTTCTTTGCCCCGCTCCCGTTCCCGATGCCTGACTCCTGTTGGCTAAGGCATGTGATGTTTACTTATAACCTTTCTCGATAAATGGACAATCGATCCAGCCCAAAAAGAATAGTATTTGATTGAGTCAAATTAGTCAAATAAAAAAGTAATATATTACCACGCCTTTAATCTCCAAAGAGGTCTCTCGCCTTTAATCTCAGAGGGCCTTAATGCCACTGGACAATGTAACACCCATTTTCCACTATTTATGTTATGAGTCCCATGTTATAGGGGGTGAGCCTATTGCCATATACGGGCCTATAAAACCCTATAAAACTTTGCCCGACCTGGATATTGAACCCGAGACCAATGAGGACAACGAGGCAGTCTCGGCAAACAAAATTTTTCAGCTTTAAAATAATACAAGTTTCTACCTCAGACTTCGCTCGCATTATGAGAATAAAAAGTAGAGAATATGTTATTAGAGACTATAATCTATCTCTATGCGTTTCATTCAATTATATTCAGTAGTTTTGATGATAAAGTCATGGATGATAAGTAGATGATAAAGGAGGATG